ACGTAATCGCCAACGGTGAAGAAAACGACGTGCCATAAAAAACAATATGTGCCACCAAACCACAAAAAGAGGTATACCATGTATGGATTATTACAGGCTAGATTTCTCTCCAATCAGAAAATTGCTTTTACTTAAATTAATAAGTTTAATCCACAGTATTAATTATCATAATTTTAACAGGTATCAAATAACACGCATATACACAGATGTGAAAATGATAATAATGGTGAATGCGCCAGTAAAAAACTAAAAAAACAGAAAGCATGCCTATGAAATCAATTTTAGGAATATTTATCGGTTGCTAAACTATTTTACAATTTTTGCAGCGATTTACCTCAAATTCATTTGGGTGTTCGTCCTAATAAATAATAATTGGTATTGCTCAATTTCACTGGCGACATCGAGGTTTTCAATCCTGATTGGTAAAATATTTAACATGAACTACGTTAAGACGGAAATTTAAATTACCAGTTGCGTTGCCTCGTGTGATAGGGATCGCAATCCCAATTTAATTAACTCAGCTAACATTGTAAACAAACGTAATTAAAGTTAAAACTTTCAAAGCCAAATCACTCTCGCGTAAAGTAAAGGAAAGCAACTTACCTATGTTGTCATGCTGTGTTGGTTTGATCCTCTTGATTCGGCATTTTCCTCGAATAGAAATCATCTTTCATTAGCGAAAATATTTTGATCGAAGTGACCGGAAGTGACCACACTCGCAACCGCCTGTAACAATGAAATCTTGTCGTGTTTTTTTTTTCTTTTTTTTTTTTTGGTTAGTTTTTTTTGGTGTTGTTTGATATTTTGATTTAATACGCTAACGCTGATATAACCCATATTTTAAGGTTGATTCAGTTGATTGTAGGTAAGCTCGTCATACCAATTATTATCTTCAAATTTCACTTTTTGTTCCCTATCATGTGGCCTCTTCTGTCCCTATCAAAATATCAAGCGCTAGTTTGTTCGGACAACCAGCTATTGGCATTTTTTTTTGTCAATACCTCCAAGAAGGTCGCCCAAGGTGAAACGTGAAACGCTTGTCTCGACAACCCTTGAAACTAGAACATTCTAGGCGGTCATGCCGATTAACATAGACAAAAAAAACAGAGCAATAGCACTAAAATTTGGTATTTGTGAGTAATTTATACTTTTCTAAAGCAGATTGTTTTGATTTTGGGATTTTGTGTTTTACAGGCCTGTTATGCAGGCGGCTTAGGTAATGATTGAGCGCTCAAGACCGTGAAGCTGAAAGGCTTATTTATAACAATTTCTTTGAAATCTTATGCTTTATATAACACCAAACTCGTACTTTTGGTGTGTCCCCTTTTTTGGAGAGTTTGTTTAATAACAATAGACTGTTGCTGTTAACTGAATTCCTAGACTTCTTTTTGTGGCTAATACTCCTCCTTTCCCGTTTCGTGATAATCAATGTTTCACTATTCGAGGAGCTATGTCCGTTGAAAAAGGGGTGGTGCCAAAATCTTTCTAATCTTGCTTATGTTTCACCACCCCTCCTCACCAACTAACTGAGTGGCGGGGACAAAAGTAGTACCTCGCAATTTTAAACGACCTTCGAGAAGTGAATCACCGAATACAATTCATAGTCTGACCACTCTCAATTTAACGCTTCGGTCAGAGTCTACTTCCCCATTATCATTTAGAGCTCTTTTTAAGATTTTTGTTAGTCCATGAAGTGCTAACAGGCTAGTTATTTCACAATATGTCATCTCTACTTTAAAGATGTGGTGCCACCTAGCCGGTACAAGGGGGACTAGGTTAATCGATTTCCTGGAAGACGTGTAACATGTAATACGTAATTATACTCCGATCTAGCGTGCGGAAAATGCCATTTTAACACGTCAGTTTCGTTTCCTAAGGATCCGGGCAACTTGGGACATTTCCGACGTTTGCAATTCTGACATCATGTCGGTATGCAATGTATTCGTATTGTTTTGCACAAATGTACCCAAAAACTAACGGTCGTTGAAAAAGTATAGTATGCAACACGCTTGGTAAACTTTTTAAATCACTCGCTCCGGGAGCAAGGCTAGTTCTTGACAGACTGCAGAGATTGGCTTGCCTCTGCATAACGGGCGCCATGAGAACGGTGCCCACGAGGGCGCTGGAGGCTCTGGTGGGGCTGCCCTCTCTGGCGGATCGGGTGCAGATGGAGGCGGCCAGGACAGCTGTGAGGCTGGCGAGCTGCGGGCTCTGGAGGGAGGGAACCTTCAATCGGGGTCCGTACGACATTTTAGAGGGCTGTCACGGGGATCGCGGGGTCATGGGCATGCCGAGTGACGTCATGATCCCCGAGATGACCTTCTTTGATAAATTGACCTTTCTCTTCCCATCAAGGGAAGATTGGAGAGAGGGCAGAGTCGGCTCCTGGGATGGACTTGTCTGGTACACGGACGGGTCCAGAATGGGAGATCTGGCCGGAGCTGGAGCGTACTGCGAGACAACGGGATCAAGCTTGTCGGTCCCTCTGGGTCAGTACTGCACTGTGTTTCAGGCGGAAATTTTCGCTTTATTGATGGCGGCCAGAGAGGTGCTTCCGCTCAACTACGGAAGCAGGAGACTCTTCTTCTGCTCGGATAGTAGGGCTGCACTCATGGCGCTGAAGTCAGTGCGTACGCGCTCCTTGTTGATAAAGGAGTGCAAAGGGGTACTGAGGAGGGCGGCTGAGGAGAGAAAGGTCACGTTGGTCTGGGTCCCGGGTCACACCGGTGTCCGGCGCAATGAGGCAGCGGACGCCTTAGCCAGGGAGGGCTCCTCGCATAGGCATATAGGGCCAGAGCCCCGCTTGGGGATCGCCCCGTGTGTGAGGCGGGGAGCTCTCGAAGCCTGGGCGAGAGACCGGGCCGCGGGGGGCTGGAGAGTTGCTCCGGGAATGAGGCAGGCGAGGCTTATGATGGATGGGCCCGCCCTTCCTCGGACCAGGGAGCTGCTTAGACTGACCAGAAGGGAGTGTAGAGCACTAACAGGGGCCTACACAGGACATTGCAGGCTTAGGAAGTAGTGTAGGTGGTGCATGGAAGGGGAGGAGATCCCGTATCATCTGCTCACCGAGTGCCCTGCCTTGACATGGGCAAGATTGGGAGTCTTCGGAACGGCCCTGATCGATCCGGACTCAGTGCACGGTATTGGGCTAAAGGAGTTGCTGACCTTCTACAGGAGGGGCGGTATTCTGGACGCCCTCTAGAGCGGCCTGGGGGCACAACGGGCCCATCTGGTGGCCTAAGTGCTTGGACGCCCGCGAGGGCGCCCCCCTTTAATACCAATACCAATACCAATACCGGTTGTTGTGCCAAATCAGCTCGTGACTCAAATGCCGTTTACCACACTTGTTGCATAATGTATTATTATTGTTCAAGACACTTAATAATCTAGTAATTTTATTTGGTGAAATGATTAACAATAATATAAAATATTATCCTTAAGTAGTAAAAAATCAAGACAAAAGCAATTAGACATTATAGTCTATCATTTTCGAATATTAGGAATGGTTTTTCATAAATATATGAATGTATTAATGTTTGGCATTTGTAATAAATACGTTGGAGTGTCAAAATAAGTTGAATTTCGAGTGTGAGTTTATTGTACTTTTCATTCCACTTTCGTGGTTTTCGTAAAAGACAATTGTCATGATTTTATATTAAAAAATAGCTCTTGTGAAAGTCTCATGTTTATTCAGTGTGATGAAACTAAATTCGAATTCTTTGGTTAACGATCTGTAAATTCTACTAGTTAGAAATCTATAACATCGTTTTCTCGAGATCTCCTTTGTCGGATGGAGGATTCAGAACTTATTAACGTTTCGCATGTACGAAAAAAAAACTGTCAATGCCGTACAATCGCTAAACCTTTTCTTTTGAGACTCTGGGAAAACCAAACGGTAGCAAATAACCGGCCTGGAAGCGGAAACCCAAACTGCATTGCCATTCGGTCAACGGACAAGTTATTTTCGTTGTTTTCGGACATAATCGATGCGTTCCGTCTGCAAAGCTGCAACGAAAACCGCTGAAAACTAACCGAAACCGTGTTTAATACGGCTGACTTAACTGAAATTCCCGAATTTGGTTTTGGGGGGGTCGCGCAAATAACGGCCGACTTTACCGCAGAAAATTGTTTACGTCGGATTCCACGTTGTACCTGTACCTGTAATAATCATCCATTTGAATTTTTTTCGGGAATTCATGTAAATAATCACCGAAATATTTAAGGATCGCTTTTTTCGTGGAAAAAAACTTTCACTTAAACGAGTATCTTCTATATCATATTGGGAGTTTAATAGAATGAAAAATTTATAGGTTAAATAGAATATTTAAAAATAAGGCTACTTTTTTAATAAATATCTTTTTTTTAAATTATTTCTGTATGAAACGGTTTAATATACTTATAAGAATTTTTTTGATCATTTCTGAAAAATATCCAATTATACACCATAGAGTGTCGGGAAGTGTCACTTTACCACGTGAGTTTCGTTTCCGGGATATTACGGGTCGTAGAAAAAGTATAGCGTACAATACGTTTAAGTCACTCGTTTATTAAGCACTCGCTCCGCTCGTGTCAAATAAACTCGTGAGTCAAATGCCGTTTACCGCACTTGTTGCATAATTTACTATTACACCACAAGTGCCTATGATGATATGACAATTCGTAGTATTTTTACTCCACAGTCATTTCGGAAACAACCATTTCGGAAAATTTTTTAAAATAATTTATTAATTCGGTTATTACTTGCTAAAACCTCCAATAACAGGAAAACCTTTAATTTTCTTAATTTTTATGGCAGATTAGTTAAAAAATATTATTTAAGACCAAAAAATTAAAGATATACCTTCAACATTAACGTGTAAATTTCAATTAATTATCTTAAACTATTCTAGAAATAATAAAAAAACAAACTGACGTTGACGTTGATTAACATTTTTCTTGCTTTATAGATTAGACTAGATTGGAGAAGTCCTGAAGCTACTGGACTACTACAACAAAAGGCTATGGTTCGAGTAGAAAACACAACGTCAGCAGAATTTAGCGTTGGAAGGGGAGTGCGCCAGGGCTGCATACTGTCGCCTCTCCTGTTTAACGTGTATTCAGAACATCTATTCAAGGAAGCATTGGATGATACAGAGGACGGACTTGTAGTAAATGGTCAAATTATAAACAACTTGAGATATGCGGATGATACCGTTCTTGTGGCCGACACTGCCGAGGGGCTTCAGAGACTTGTGGACCGAGTGGTGACTGCATGCGAAGGATACGGTATGAAGATAAACTGTAAAAAAACACAAATATTAATTATCAGTAAAAACGATATTGGAAACCTACAGTTTACTGCAAACAACGAAGCCATCAAAACAGCAGAGACAGTTACATACCTGGGCTGTACTTTGAACAAAGATTGGGACCACTCTCGAGAAATAAAGTGCCGAATCGAAAAAGCAAGAAGCACATTTAATAAAATGAGAAACATACTCTGTAACCTATCCCTCAGCGTCCGCACTAGAATAAGGGTCCTGAACTGTTATGTTCTCTCGGTCCTCCTTTATGGGACAGAAGCATGGACCCTTACCGATGCCTCGTGCAAACGTATAGATGCCTTCGAGATGTGGTGCTACCGCCGCATCCTCAGAATTTCGTGGGTACATCATGTGACAAATAAAACGGTCATTGAGCGCATCGGAGGAGAAATGGAATTCCTAGCAAACATCAAACGCAGAAAACTGGAATACTTTGGACACATTATGCGCAATGAGAAATACCACCTACTCCAATTCATCTTACAGGGGAAAATAGAGGGTCGACGATCGGCAGGACGCAGACGAATATCGTGGCTGCGGAACCTACGTGCATGGACTGGAATGACATCAACAGCCCTATTCAGATCCGCAGTAAACAAAGTAATATGGACCAACGTGATAGCCAACGTACACAGAGGACCGGCACTTTAAGAAGAGAAGAAGATAGAGTAGACGACCATTTTCTTTAACACACCGTCCAACTTTTCCTTACGTCCGATGAAGAAACTTATTCAAAAATTTTATCGCGAACTTACAGTAAAGTCTCAAATTTGGTGTTTTTTTTTACAAGCAATTCCTTTTGTGTTAATTATTATTGAACAGCGGATATGTGCACTAAGAAGAGTTTAAAAAATACCGAGTTGTTTGATTTTAAATGTTTTTTAAATTTGGTAGACTTAATTCAGGTCTTTATTAACGCTGGAATAAAAAAAAGAAAATCATACGCTAGATCATTAAAATCTAGAATAATAAAAAAACAACAATAACAAATTACGCGTTCTTTGTGAACACAACAGCGCTGAAACTGATATTGGAATTTCAAACGTCGTTCTCAGTTATTGGGCATACAAGGCGGATATTCCGCCTGCATGATATTCCTTTTGGTTTCTGAGTTCCGGGAAATTGACAACGTACACAAACAAAAAGCGCGCCCGGATGATATGGATAACTGGGTAGAAAATGTCGACGTTAAAATGATACCTCGCTTAGATATATATGCTGGGAGTATCGAGGCTCCGGAGAATCAGATCTCGTGTAATGGTTCTCCGAATTGAAACCGATCCTATATTTACCTGCTAATAGAGTTAATTGGGTCGAATATTTGGTTTCTCGGATTCGCAAGACAAAGCTAAGGTACACACCGGGAACGGAATCGCAAAACTGCAAATATTTGCTTTCATTGGTTTGGAAAATATTTTAGTACCGAGTCAGAGTCTGGATACGTCAAATAATTTTGGCGAGAACAGAAAATTTTTAAGTACCCGTTTTGATTAACCAAACATTACCTGACTCCAAACAAATCCTCATAATACAATACACGTTCGAGAATTGCTACTTTAGTCAGGAGTTTCATTTGGCACGAGAGGAGGGAAGCGAACAAAGTGATAAGAAACGAGTCACCGAATAAGTTTGGTGGTGCATTTTTGCAAAAGAGCATGAATTCATTTACTGAATGGTGTGTGACGTAAAGATACGAACTAACAAACGTAAAAGTACAATCCATGGCTAATATGTGATGTAAGTCGATGCCTAAATAATGTGACAGTTTATTTATACATATATTTTTCGGTAGATTTTGGTTAGTTCTCCCAGAGAAGAAACCCGATGATATCCCAGTGGAGCTGCTACAAGTGACTCGTGAAGACAACATCACTATTTTAGTGCATTTCCTTAATGCTGTATACAATACTGGCAAAATATCAGAAGAATGGTTAAAATCTGTATTCAGAACACTTCCACACTTCACAACGAGTAAGAAACTACAGCGACTACACCATCTTTTGACCTCGGTTAACATGGCGATAAACCAAATGGGGCTAAAGATAAATGTAGATAAAACAAAGTTTATAATATATGATATATCTAACTCAGCAACTTACCCAGACATTAATCTAAAATTCAAAGAATGGTAAAACGAAAGTTACGGCCCACTTTTTCAAATATGAAAATTTGTACAAATAATAGAAATTTCCAATGATATTTTTTCAAATATCTCGCGCACCTGTATGATAGGCGAAACCTGAAACTCTCGTTAGATAAAGTTTACGATACTGTTCAAATGAAACTATCACTTCTTTAACAGTTTTTCATTTATAGTCATTAATTTACCCACAAAGAAGGAAATTTTTAGAATTTTTTACATTTTTTGCCCATAGACGACACACTCTGTATATAATTATAGTCCTGGATCTCCTATGTTTCCTGGAATATGAATTTTTCCAATAGAGAAAAATGGTTAGTTCTTCTCTGAAACTATAAGGCACGCCGTAAAAGTGAATGATGTCATCGCGTCTAGATTGATTGCGAGAAATGGCGATTTTTTCAAATATCTCGAGCAACCTCTGCGAAAACCGTAAATACAAAAAGTGCCGTTCTCGATGTGGTCTATAATATTGTTTAAACCTATTAGCCATATTTTTCATGAATTTTGATTTACGGCAAATAATTTATTCTGGAAAACAACAATTTTAAGGGTCTTGTAGATTTTTGTCTATAATTGAAAAACCCTGTATATAATCTATAAAATGTTTGAAGTAAAAGCTATAGTATCGGATCTTCTGCGTCTTTTGGTTTAAGAATTGCCGATGGAGTGAACAGTTTTCGAGATATTTTTTTTTGGAGTAAAAAAAAAACATTTTTCAAAATTAATCGCGCCCAGTTTCAACAATTTAAATGTCGGTGTGGATTTCTACTTCTCTGCCAAATTTGAAGTCCATAGCTGCAAATTTGAGATAAATGTTACATATTTGAATGTAGCACAAAATATCCCGAATACCCTGTACAATATGTGAAAAAAAAAAACGAAAGTTTTAACTGTCCATACGGGATATATGGTCGTGTCAAAAAAACTGACGACTAAAGCAAGCCTTCTATTTATGGTCAATTTTCATCATAAGGTGAACACAATTTTCAGTTTTTTGCAAATTATCAACGCACCCTGTACGTTTTTAAATAACTATCAAGGTTTTTGGTATGTACCTCGCCCATCTTCTAGTTTAAGAATTTTTTCGATAGTATATACCATTTTTGAGAAATGAATTTTTTCTCGAGCCCCTAGAAATGCGGTTTTTAAATTAAAAAAAATACTAAAATAATTTTCGGCAACACTATTTTTGTCTGTCAGTAATTAACCAGGCCAAGGTGACGATAAACCTGATTTTCATCACCAAGTTATTTGCGGAAATGGCGATACGAAGAAAATTTAACTCCAACGATTTATTTCCGATGCTTTGATGCACCGCCGCCCGTTTTATTTAACGCGTGCAATTGCTATCGGCTTTAATTCGGTGAATTCGTTTTCAATTAACGCAACATATTTCGATGTATTTGACGTCACGCGGAATTCGCAATAAACGTGCGGAGCTTAAAGCACGGCCGTAGCAGCGGCTGGTTTTCGATGCCGATAATATTCTGCTGGTATAGGGTCGTATATATACAACATGCAATTAAGGAGGTAAAATTGATATTTGCTGTATTTATTTCAGAAAATCTCACCTCGAATACTTAGAAAAGTGAAGATTAAAAACAAATACGTCAAATAATCTATCGAAGCGACTAACCATACCGCCGCAGTTTAAAATGTATGAGATGTATGAAGTGAGAGGCCCTTTTAATGCCTTCATTTTGGCATTTCATTGTTTGAAAATGGGAATTGGGAAAATAAGCGTAATCTGCCACTTAATTAATTATTCTAAATTAGCAACCTGCTCTTCTCTCCAATAATTTTCACATTAGGGATATTACACAAAATACACTTCTCCACAACCTTCTAATAGCAATCTCAAAGCAATCCCACACTTGCCACTGCTGTACTTCCTTGCACTCAAAACATCACTGACCATATATCAAAAGTTCTAAAGAAATATGTCTTCTGTTCTTGGAGCCTTATTCATATTTTTCGCCCCGTCTCTACGATGTATTCGTAATGCTGTAAACTCCTGGTATATCAAAAGGTGTCTTTGACGGGTCAAAGAGGATGAAAGATTTTTGGACAAATGGTAAATCTGGTTTTGACGTTATATTTCTTAAGAACTTTTGATATGTGGTCAGCGATGTTTTGAATGTAAGGGAAGTGTGGGACTCACTTGGAATGTTGTGGTGAAGTATATGGTGTGAGATGGAACGGTGAATATTAATTATTAGAGAGAAGAGCAGAGGTAAGGTGTTTTAATTCTGAATTCAATGACTCGGGCTGATATAGTTTTACGCGTCTGTAAACAAAAGAGTTAATAACCGTTGATCTTTAGGCCGGATGGTAATTATTATTATTATCGTATGGCAATAACACAGTCTAGTTTTAAATGTCAATGTTTACAAAGGTTAAAAATTAATATCTAGGTTTCTGTTTCTACTGTTTCTACATTTCTACTGTTCTACTAGTGAGGATGACCTCGCAAGCTATTCCAAATCAGACTCGAAACAGCTCTTCTCAGAGCCCCAAGACTAGAATTATCGGACCGTCAGTCCGTATTTGCCAGCTAAATATAGAGGGTATAAGCAGAGCCGGATGGTAATGTGACAATGCATTAAGGTATCGGTCTGTGTGCATAGGTGTTCTGTAACAGAACGACCCAATGTTAGGTCTGATTTCCTATTGCTAAGGATGATAATGATCGACAGAATGATTGGCGAAACGTCAGCAAGTTCGATTCAACAACAACTGACGCAGAAGGAATCCAAAAGTTTTTTAAGCAATTACCTTGTTTGAAAAATAGCAACATGGTAAAAATTTAAGACTTAGGAGATGTCTTTATAATTGTACTAGCGGAAAACTAATATAAACATACAAATTCAATATACACTATGTCCAAGTTCGGAGTAGGGAATATTACAAATGGAATCAAGTCACTTTTTATAAAAGGACCTGCTCGGTTTAACATTCCTATTATTATAACTTTTGTTTAGGATTTATATGTTTTTATTTTTGCTATTTATTACTTTGGTTCAATTTTAGAAATTTTGATTTTTATTAAGCCCTTAACATAGAAAACATATCTTTAAGTAATTGCAGTAATTGAATTTGCATTTAAATTAGTTGAAATATAAGGAAAGATAGGAAAGAAGACTAATTGCGTACAGAAGGATCTTGGGTTACGTGCTTACAAAATCCAACTCGTGCAAGCATTGAAGCCAAACGATCATCAAGTAAGGCGTAGATTCGTCGAATGGGCCCAAAACGAGATTGCCGTTGTTCTCGATTTTCATAAGCGAATTTTGTTTAGCGATGAAGCGCACTTCTGGTTGAATGGCTGCGTCAACAAACAAAACTGCCGCATTTGGAGCGAAGCTAATCCTCAAATGTATGTCGAAACACCGTTACATCCAGAAAAACTGACTGTTTGGTGCGGTTTATGTGCTGGTGGAATCATTGGTCCGTACTTTTTCAAAAACGATGATGGCCAGAACGTTACAGTCAATGGTGATCGGTATAGAGCTATGATTACTAACTCTTTCATTCCTGAATTGAATA